AGAATCCCATATGACTTATTAACCAATCTGTCTTGCTATTTTACAGGGGTGTTTCTTTTTTATGTATGCAGTTCAGTCCAAGGGGTCTCTAGTGTGAAGTGGTAGCATTATATGGCACACTAAAGTAACCTTCTAGAACTTTCCTAATCAAATGTCTAGAGATTTGTCTAATATTGCCTCACTTCATTCTTCCTCCCAAAATTAATAATTTTTTTATTTAACATCTTCCATTAAATTTTATCTAGAAAGACATACAGTTCTCATATTTACACAGATTGAAAACAGATATAAGAGATAGTTGACAATCAAAAGGGTTTGCCAGGTGCTGAATTCAACTGGGTATAATACTTCTTTAACTTGATTCAGAGTTAAAGGAAAGCCAAAAGTAATCGCTGCCAGAAGTCCAAAAAAAAACTTACAATACACTCACGAACTCTGTTGTGGAAGAGCTTTGCTCTAATCATAACTTCGTCTTCCATCGCGACCCTTCATGACTGAGAGGACACACACTACCTGTTGCCTCGATCTCTGAAGCTGTAGCTCTCTCGACAGCTCGAGCTCCACACGGCTACAAACTTCCAAGCCGCCACACGCTGCAGAATCATCATAGAACACGACCCGGATTGGATGCGAAACTCCAAGAGAAAACATGATCCCTAACACACCATTGGCGGAGAGCGCTGCTCAAATGTAACACAGCAAATAATTGACTAAAATGCATACCAAACGCTTCGCGATTGGCTGCAGCGCTAAATTGATTGGTGCGAGTGCTGAGAATATAACCAATAGTAAGAGCGAATAAAAAAGGGTTTGCACATTTGCGTGGGCATAATTTTGTCTAACAGATAAGTAGCTGAAAGACGAGGCGAGAAGCTCCACTGAGGCCTGTAATTGGTTGAATAGCTTCCATTTAAACCATGCATCAGTATCTGGAAATGTGGCTGAAAGATAGTTTTTTTTTCCTCTCTAGTGTAGAGTTGTGAAACAACATGTAATCAATCTATAGACTGAAGAAAGCCACTGTGAATGCTCTGTTCGTAGAGCAAATTGTGTACCAAGGCAGTTAGTATGCAAGGTATGAGTTTTACGCACAAGAAATGGAAATTGTATTGCTTTATAGCCTTTAGTAAGTACAACATTCAGAGATGATATTTTTATTGGCATAAGCAAGTCTGACTAAAAGGAAACATGATTCGAACGAAAACATGAAATTGTTATCTAGAAACGTTATTTTTTAACAAAGTGTATGCTTTCAATAATCTCTACTTTTAATTTCTGTAACACCTTGTCCTTGTTATCCGTGTACTTGCAAGGTCAGCCTCACACCCCATTTTGTTTTCCCCCCCCCCCCCCATTGACTCGTCCGTTTCGTTCGCGGTCTATAAGAGAGTTACATCGAAGCGGTATCCGCTTGATGGCCGTGCCCTTATTCCCCGCGAATAACGAGGATTTGGTAAATATCTGAAATGCAGACGGACAGTAAAGCTGTCATTCGCGAAATATTACGAATGCCGCCAGTCCCCTCCAGATTTCGCCTTTTTTTTGTTGCACCGAGTGCCGAGAAAAGCTAACGGTTATTTGAATGAATTAATGATGGAGGGAAATTTAAATTGACGAATCAACAGCTGCATGCATATAAATCAGCATAAACATATCGCCGCCTGGAGGCAAACCGCTGAGATTTGGTTTTTCCTGGATACCAAGACCATATATTCTAGTCTCCCAAAATCTCCAATGTATTATTTGTGGCGAAAACAGAATATGATAGAAACACCCCGCAGATCAGTGGAGAAAAGCACGTTAACGTTTCAGGCACTTTATCCTTCAGATTTCCAGTGTTTTATTTTATGTTGCCTATGGTGTGAATTACTGTCTGGAACAATTTGTTTAATCAAGATGTCTCAATCCATCATAAATAAATTCCTTATTTACAGTAAAGACACTTCCGATGTTATGGAAATACTGCATGAGTAGACAGTTGTTCACAATTCCAATGCCTGGAAAAATGGTGGAGGTAGGGTCAATGCAGGCCTTTGAGAGGGTGCTGGATAGATATTTAGAAATGGAGTGCACGGGTATGGGAAAAAGACAGGAGCCTGACACTATGTAAAGGGACCAGTCCAGGAGGGGCTCTTGTGGTATAGTGATAGTATCCCTACCTCTGAGCCAAGAGGCCCTAGCCCAAGTCCTACCTGTGCCAGAGGTGTGTAACAACATCTTTGAACAGGGTCATGAGAAAATATGTAGAACTGATGAAAGGTATGACGGACTAAGCCTTTGACAAGGTTCTAGACTAATTAGTAAAGTCAGATCACATGGAATTCAGGGTGAGCTTGCTAATTGGATACAAAATTGGCTTTATGGCAAGAGACAGAGGATGGTGGTAGTGTTGTTTTCAGACTGGAGGCCCGTGACCAGTGATGTTCCACAGGAATAGGTGCTGGGTCCACTTATTTAACACTTATATAAATGATCTGGATGAAAATATAGGAGGTATAGTTAGTAAGTTTGCAGATGACTCCAAAATTGGTGGTATGGTGGACAGTGAAGAAGGTTGTCTAAGATTACAAAGAGATCTTGATCAATTGGGTCAGTGGGCTGAAGAGTGGCAAATGGAGTTTAATTTGGATAAAATGAGGTATTGCATTTGGTAGTGCCAACAAGGATAGGACTTATGCAATTAATGGTAGGACCCTGGGTAGTGTTTCTAGAACAGAGACCTAGGGGTTCAGGTACATAATTCTTTGAAATTTGCATCACAGATAGACAGGGTGGTTAAGAAGGTGTTCGGCACTCTTGCTTTCATTGCTCAGTTCTTTGAGTATAGGAGTTGGGGCGTCATGTTGAGGTTGTACAGGACACTAGTGAGGCATCTTGAGTACTGTGCGCAGCTCTGGTCGCCCTGTTACAAGAAGGATATTATTAAACTGAAGAGGGTTCAGAAAAGATTTACCAGGAATGGAGGGTTTGAGATATAAAAATAGACAGGAAAAGCTGGGACCTCTTACACTTAAAGTGAAAAAAGTTGAGGGATGACCTTAATGAGGTTTATAAAATCATGAGGGGCATAGGTAAGGTGAATGGCAAGAGTCTTTTCCAAGTTTGGAGGAGTTCAAAGCCAAAGGCATATTTTTAAGGTGAGAGGAGAAAGATTTAAAAAGAACATGGGGGGAATTTTTTTACAGTGGTTCGTGTGTGGAATGAACTGCCGGAGAAAGTGGTGGATACAGGTACAATTACAATGTTTAAAAGACATTTGGATAAATACATGAATAGAAAAGATTTGGAGGGATATGGGCCAAGTGCAGGCAGGTGGGACTAGTTTAGTTTGGGAGTATGGTTGGCATGGATTGGTTGGACTAAAGGGTCTGTTTCCATGCTGTTTGACTCTATGGCTGAATGGTCTCTTTCTACACTGTAACGATTCTGTGATTAATCTGTGTATGAAATTAGTGTTGTACTGAAAATGATCTCCAAACCCTCCACCTTGTTTGAAGCTAAATGTTTTACAATTGTCTTCAGAAATCTTTAACTACAAGTTGCATTTATACATGACATTTAAGGTAGTAAACGGTCCACAGGAGCAGTATCAGACAAATTATGGTTTGGAAATTTTAGTGCAGGTGACCAAAAGTTTGATGGAAGACATAGATTTGAAGCAGTGTCTGAGAGAAGTAGAGTTTAGAGGAGAGATTTTCTGAGCTTTGGGCCTTGGGAGTTGAAGGCAAAAAAGGAAACACAAATCAATTTGTTTTCTTGAGTTCTCTACCCAAAGGCAGGTCGTTGGCAATTATTCATCTACCACAGCTAAGCACTTGGATTTTTTTAAAACTACAGGTAGGGTAATAAGGCAGACCCCCAATACTACCTCAGCCAGAATGCAGATTGAACTCCTTGCTGTTAACAAGAATATGATCAACTAGCTGTCCAGCCGTTTTTCAGATAAAACATTAAACTGCTCTGTCTGCCCTTTCAGTTGGATGTAATGACAATCTCCAAAGACTTGCAGCCAGGTCTCTCCAGTGCCCTGCAAAAAAAAAATTACAAAAGTAGATTAACAAATCTTGATCACATTGCTGTTTGTGGCTGCTTTCTGTGCACAAATTGGCTGTTGTTACAACAGTGACTATACCTCAAGAGCTCATTTACAATCAAGTGTTTTGGCAGATTTTCAAAACGGTGAAAAATGCCATAGAAATTCAAGTCTGTCTTCTTTCTGAAATGGTAGAACAAATTTATTTCACTTTCTGCTACAAAAGCTGGTAATGTCCTGAAGTAATTTTATTCTTATCCCTTTCATTCTGTCTCTTTCATAGTTAGAAAATACAGCAACTCCTCAATTTCAGGCATTTGCTACAGAGGCTGGTGTTGCCTAGCGTTAGCTTGTTTGCTGCAGTCAAATCACGAATGAGTGCCTGGGCATGTGGTAAACATATGGACAACTGATTACACCTAATCTAGACAGTGTCAATAGATTATTTTTGCCCATGATAGTTGGTGAAGGACATCACAGACAAGGTGAATTCTGGTCTCTTTTCACCCTGAAAAACTGAAACACATGTGCTCCCTCAACTCATAGAGCATCTCATTACACTTTTTTGTACGTGTCAATGGTAAGGATTTATTGTCAGGATCCATTCACCAACAATAATTTGAGATGGCCTCAGACACAATACCTGACTCTCGGATTCTAATTTCTGGTCTCAGGGTGCTGACATGTGCAGCTGTCCATTAAAAGAGGGGGAATTAACTTTGTGAGCTAATAGCAATTCATGCCAAATTCTAAATAATAATATCCGAATAAGTGTATTTTGACTTGAATTAAAACATTTCGTGCAGCCTAAGAACATAACCCTAGACTATTTCAACTTGCGTTATTGGTAAGGATTTAATTCTGCACCTCACCCCTGATGCTTGTGGAGAAATGCAAATGGATGCAGATACTATGGTGAAGGGAATGTTTTGTTTTTTTTTAAATTTGATCTTGGGATATGGATGACACTGGTTAGACAGCATTTATTGTCCATCCCTAATTACTCACAACTGGTGATGGACCTCCCCCACCCCGCATCGAGCTGTTTCAATCTACATTAGAGGTTACTGCAGATGATAAAAGCTTTTGGTGTTGTAGGTGATATATTAGCAGGGATAGAGGATTGGCAAATGGAGAGTTGGGATAATTTAGTCATTTTCAGGTGGGCAAATTGTAACTAGACTGCCACAGGGATCAGTGTTGGGGCTTCAACTATTTCCAATCTATATCAATGACTTGGATGAAGGTACTGAGTGTATTGTAGCCAAAATTTGCTGATACAACCATAAGTAGGAGGAAGGACATAAAAGCAGGATATTATTTGAATGGAGGGATATTGCAGAATTTTGCAATACAGCGTGTCCTGGGTGCCTTTGTATGTGAACCACATGAAGGCACCAAGCAGGTACAAGCAAGTTGCTAGTTAGACAAATGGAATGTTGACCTGTATTGGTGTGGAATATACAGGTAGGAAAGTCTTGCTACAACCGGACAGGACATTGGTGAGACAGCACCTGGGGTACTGTGTGCACTTTGGCCTTGTTACTTCAAGAGGAGACCATGGTATTGTCACTGGTCTCAAAATCCAGAACC